ACCAACCCCCGGGGTAGTCACACCACAATCCCTTCTCTACTTCTTTCAGGATTTTGGGCATACACGCCCAAGTGTGCTTTTTAAGCCTCTGAGTCTGAGACTCGAACTACACAGTTGGCCATGTGGGATCCAGCTACCTTAACCACTATTCCACAGGCTGTCTCCTAAACGTTCATGATAACAACTTTTTAAAAAATGTGTGCTGTTTATATGAACTTGTTAAAGTTTCTGTTTTCCTTTCAACAAATTATTCCTATCTAAATTTAACTCTGCAGCCACCAAGTAAGCTTGGACCAGTCTTCCACCTGTCTGGTCTCACTCACCTTTCTGTTGTGTTTTCATCCCTGATGTGACCTCTCATCCCTGATGTGACCTCTGTTGTAACTCAGGGGCTCTCAGATTTGAATATGTTGTCTGTGGAGTATGAGTTACCTAGTGCTAAGAAGTTACTCGAGAACTTAGCAACTTAAAATTTTTAAAATGATCATCCTGCAGTTTCTGCAAATTAGGAATTTGGCAGTGACTTCTCTGGGTGTTTGTGACTAAAGCTTTCTCAAGAGAGTTTGGGTCCGTGACAGTTGCAGCTGTGGGCATCCAAAGATCTAATAGGGCCTTGAATCTGACTCCAGGAGGGTGTTCTCCCATGACTATATGGAGTCTGCGGTTTCTCCAAGGTAGTGGGCAAACAGCCTCACTACCTGGCCATGTGGACCTGTCCACAAAGGTGCTCCAATGTCCTCGTGATGCTTGAGCAAATGATCTGGGAGAGTAAGGAGGAAACTGCAGTCCCTTAAAGGACTGTCAGTCCCTGAAGAAGCTCCCATCATGGTTTCTGCCATATTCTGTTGGATAGAAGTGAATCCTAGCCCATACCCAAAGGGAAAGATACTGAATTCTGCCTTTTACGGGAAGGAATTTGTAGACTTTTTTTTTTTTTAAGAGAGTTTTTTTTGGCTATAGGGCCCATATGCTCGCTGGAAACACAGTGAGACGAGAGACAGAAAGCGAGAAATCACCCCCTCTGGGGGTGGGGTGATGGCCACACTGCAGTCCCCTTCTCCTCTGTTCCCCTCTTGGAATTTTGGGCACGCACGCACACATCCCTGGTGTGAGTTTTAAGCCGTTGGGTCCAGGTCTCAAACCACAGTCAACTACATTGGAGTCCAGCCATGTAAACATTATACCATCTGCTGGTCCCAATTTATGGACATTTTAAAATCACCACATCTGGGATACTTGTTGAAAAGTAAGATTCTTCTTTGTTTTTTTTGGAGAGGTTTTTGCTATAGGGCGCGTGCACTCGCCAGATAGAGAGAGATAGAAAGCAAGAAATCACCCCCCGGGAGGATGGCCACACCGCAATCCCTTCTCCTCCATTCTCCTCTCGGGATCTTGGACACGCACGCACACGCGCCTGGCGTGAGTTTTAAGCCACCGGGTCCGGGACGCAAACCACGGTCAACTACGTGGGAGTCCAGTGACATAGCCATTACACTAACTGCTGGTCCCGAAAAGTAAGATTCTTAAGCCCCATTTCATACCTAGTGAAAGGTGGGACCCAGGTACCTGCAGTTTACAAGCACCCTAGAGATGTTGATGCAGGTGACCTGAGCCCACACTTCAAAACATACTGCTCTGGCCAGAATGGGTCACTTGTCCTTACTACCTCCATTGGCCTCTCCCTGTCTTTGACCACCCACAGAGCTTCTGCAACTTGGACTTCATTTTATTGCCTTTGTATTTATTTAGTTTTTATTATAGGGCAGGTGTGCTCACTGGAGAGAGGGAAAGTGAGAAAGTCGTCCCCCCGCCCCCCTCCCCCCATTGGCAGGGGCGGGGGAGGGGGGGAGATGGCCACATTGCAGTCCCTCCTGTTCTTGGGATTCTGAGTATGCATATGCCACCGGAGTGTTTTTCAAGCCACTGGGTGTAGGGCTCAAACTGCTCAGTAGGCCTTAATGGGATCCAGGCAGCCTAACCACCACTGGTTGACCCTTTCTTAAGTCTTGCATAAATTCACAACCTCTGTTGTGCCCACTACCTGAGACAGTAATGGGCTCCCCTCTCAAATTCCTGTAATATTCATCTTTTCAGAGCTCTTTGGCTCTGATTCACTTCGTTTCTCTTCTATTGTAGCGCTAGTAGGCATATAGAAATGATTGCCTTCATTTGATCTGCTCTCCTGCCAGCAGAACTGTGACAACTCTGTAACAAGCCTTCTGCCACTCAGGATTCAAAAGCTGTGTGGTCGTTAGAATGCTGAGGAGGCTGGCCCAAACCACACTTCTTGGTAGTTAGTGCCCTCATGCAGGCAGTTACCAAAGACACACATTGCTGTTTGTGTGCTAGACTTGGTTTCAGGCAACAGGGAAAGGAGACAGGTGTGCTGCCTGCAGATGACAAGGTAGTGATAAACCAAGTACGCAAGAAAGTAACATCACAGCTTGGAAGACATTCTAGGGAAGAAGTGAACAGATGGCTATGATTTTAAACAAAGGAAACCTGCTTTCAGTATGTAAGTTTTCAGAGAGTCTGCCTGAGACTTAGAGGAGAAAAGGAAAAGAAAGACTCCATGTGGGAGGTAAGGGAAGCAGAGGCCAAATGAGGTGAGGCTACCATTGCTTTGGGCAGGATTTTATCTGGGCACAGGACGTTAACCTCTACTGGTGTGTTATCCAACCTAGAGGACTTCTCTTATAGCAGTTGTGGAAATAAACGGGAGATTCAGATTATATCTATAAATTCAAATAAAATAGATTTGCAAGTAGGAGTTACATGTAAACTTGACAAAGGGAAGCCAAAAAGAACTCAAGCATGAATGGTGATCAGGAATGTGGGTGGCCCTCTTCTCATCTCAGAACACAAAATGTGGGATGACCACAATATCAATAAGAGCTATTTATATTCTAGATAAAAGTGCTCCTGTCGGGACCAGCAGTTAGCGTAATGGCTGTGTCCCTGGACTCCCATGTAGTCTACCGCAGTTCGCATCCCAGACCCCATGGCTTAAAACTCACGCTGGGTGCGTGTGCGTGCATGCCCAAGATCCCAAGAGGAGAATGGAGGAGAAGGGATTGCGGCGTGGCCATCCCCCCTGGGGGGTGATTTCTCGCTTTCTGTCTCTATGTCTCTCTGTCTGTCTGGCGAGCGCTCGCGCCCTATAGCAAAAAAAACTTCTCCAAAAAAAAAGAGAAAGCTCCTCTCTTTAAAAATGAGCACTATTGGACCAGCAGGTGGCATGATGTTTAAGACGGTGAACTCCCACATGGTTGACTACAGTTCAAGTCCTAGACCTGGCAGTTTGCATTCTCACTTCTCTCTCTCTCTGGTAAGCACATGTGTTCTGTAGCAAATTAATTAACAATAGTAATTATAAATAAAATGAGAAATAAACAATTTTTTTCTTTTTTGGGGGAAAGATTTTGCTATAGGGTACGTGTGCTCGCCAGAAAGACAGAGAGAGACAGACAGAAAGCGAGAATCACCCCCCCAGGGGGGATGGCCACACCGCAATCCCTTCTCCTCCATTCTCTTCTCAGGATCTTGGGTGCACACCCACCCGGCGTGAGTTTAAGCCACCGAGTCCAGGACTTGAACCACGGTGGACTACATGGGAGTCCAGCAATATAGCCATTATGCTAACTGCTGGTCCCAATAAACAATTTTTTTAAATGAGCCCTATTGTAGATAAGAATCTGATTCTAGTTTTTCAGGTTCTGAGCTCAGCTTGTGTGTCAAATCCTGTCCATGTCTGTCTCCTCTTAACTGCTGATTTGATCTAGATCACACAGTGGACATCCAGCCTTGAGAGTTCTGTGACTTCCCACCGAATTCCTTTCTACCTAGCTGACTGCCTCTCCTCTTCCAAGGCTTTCCCCAGCCCTTGCCTTCTGTCTCTTCTAGAGTCCTGGGTGTTGGTAGGCTGAGTTCTGGCCATATTTCCCAAACAAATAGAACAAGACTAGAAAGACCTTTTTCTTCTTTTTTGGTTTCCTCTTGTTTACAAGAGGGTTGAATATGGTGACCTCTAAAATTCTTTTGTTTTTCTGGATCATATTAACCTAGACCCGAATTATGTAACCTTCCTCTGAATCTACAGCATGTGTTTATACAATATAAATTAATATTTCTCCTCCTAGACAGCTCTGCTGATCTTGGCTGGGTGATTTTTCCTAAGCTGTCACCTGGGTTTACCTATGAGGCTGTGTTCAGCTCGGAGGCCAGGGATGCTAGCAGGGGCTGGATTCAGAATAGCCGATCTCTTTCTGTATACTGTCTTTCATCCTCTAAGACTAGACCAGCTTCTTCACATCATTCCAAGAGAGCAAGCCCTGATGCCCAAACTTTTTATCCAGCTTCTGCTCACTTCAAATTTGTTAGTGTCACATTTACTAAAGTACCTAATGTGGTCAAATCTGCTATCAACTTGAAAGGGACTCTCCACAGAGCCTGGATATGTGAGGTATGGCTCAGTAGGGTAATTGATTTAACAGTCTCCGTGCTAATTACCTATCTCCTCTGATGAGGTTTTCCCAAGGCAATTTCAAAACCATCTCATAGAATTATTTGGAATTATTGATGTAATATGCTCAGGTTGTAGTTCTTTGTGGCCACACAAGTATTAATTAACAAAAATGAAGCTCCCCTTGTAAGTAGATACTGAATCAAGCTAAGTTTAATCACAAACTACTCTTCCTTAAGTCTGATCTTATATTTTCAGGATAGCAAAATGAAATTCAGAGTGTGGTACCATCTCCCCCTTAGAACCTCTGCTGTTTTTCATAAATGGAAGGCTTTGGGAATACTGTTTGGGAATAGCTTGTAAAATGACTTCAGAATACTCCAGACTTTCATATTTGTCTTAGATATAGATGATAAATATTAGCAGTGAACCAGATATATAGATATCTAGGAAAAAATTTAAGTTTATATTGCCACAGTAAAAATGCAATGTCTAATAACTTGTGTTGGGGGGATTGTGTGTTTTGTTTGTTTTTTAGCTCTTCAGAGAAGTAAGAATAATGAAGATTTTAAATCATCCAAACATAGGTACTTTCTGCTTTCTTAAATACTTTTAATACTTTTAAAAGAGCATTTAATACTCTTAAATGCATTCTTGAAAGTGTGTCATAAAGTTAAAAACATGTATTCTAGAAGTGATAAAAGGAGACTCCCTCCCATCCCCAGCCAAGGTATATTTTAAATAAATAATAAATACTAGTTGGTAATCATTTGTGTTAGCTTCCTGAAATTACTAAAGACAAATTACAAGCTCAGTTATTAAACATTTTAATTTAAGACTTTAATGTGGTAGAAACATTTGTAATCATATTAGCTATAATTTGTAATTTTTAATATATTAGAAAATATAATTTTAGTAGGTAGAGAAGGGAATTATAGGAAGCCAAAATTAGTGTCACCTGAGGTATTATACTTTTTTTACTGTGACTACATTCCTAAATAATTGCTTGTATGTTGAATCATATTTGAAAGGTGGGATACTTGCTATCTAATGGAATTTTGATAGGAATTGTTTCTTTTTTTTTCTCTCTCTCTTTTTTTTTTTTTTTTGAGAGGTTTTTGCTGTAGGGCACATGCACTCACCAGAAAGACAGAGAGATAGAAAGCGAGAAATCACCCCCCAGGGAGGGATGGCCACGCCGCAATCCCCTCTCCTCCATTCTCCTCTTGGAATCTTGGGCATGCATGCACACGCACCCAGCGTGAGTTTAAGCCACTGGGTCCGGTACTCAAACCGCAGTCGGATACATGGGAATTCAGTGACATAGGCATTATACTAACTGCTGGTCCCAGGAATTGCTTCTTGAAACACTGATTTGTTTACTGTATCCTCTGTGTACTGTGATAGGCACTGTGAGGCAGATGTAAAAAGATGAGGAAAGGATATGGGCAGCCTTAATCACAATTGTAGGAACAAAATAAAAGTATACAAATTACTTAATACTTACCTTACTATATATGCACATAAAAACTTTTGATCCCACATATATCATAATAAGACTTTTTAAATAATATAACTACTTTTTTATATACTGATAGCTTCTGCCTTCTAAAGCTATAATTTCAAAAGTGAAATCACTTTTTAAGAGAGTTGAATATATCAATTTACTATCAACATCAGTCGTAGGAAATGAGAAGGGTGATGTTGAGTTAAATTAGCCAGCTAGGGGGCCAGCAGGTGGCATGGTGGTTAAGGCACTGACCTCGTGGCTTGCTTTCTCACTGTCTGTCTGTCTCTTTCTCTGGTGAGCACACATGGCCTGCAGCAGACTTTAAAAAATAACAAACAGTAACAAATATAATTAATTATTTTTTAAAATGATAGGTAGACAGTCAAGAGTTCTTTAGGCACATGAAGAATAAAATGGGTCACAGGAGGAAAAAGTTTTTAAACAGAGCTTCTTATTTTGATGATATACTTCAACAAAAGATTTAATCAAATCTAAGCTACTGTCATTTTTATATGGCATTATTATTTTGTATCCTTAGACTAAGAAAGAAAAATACTGCCAAGCTATTACCCTGATATTGGGATATTAATTAAAATATAGGGGGAGGGGTGATGACATCTTAGAAACAATGTATGTTTGGAGAAAAAAATCAAAAGGAATGTAATAGTGGAAAAAAGACCATTGCTTTTTATTTCAACCCTTTGGGTTAAGACAACAACTCTAGATTTTAAATTTTCACTGAAAAAAATTTTTGTTACTACTGCCTAGAAGTAGTTTACTTAAACTATTTTGGGACCAACAGATGGCATAATGATTACATCATTGGACTCTGCCATAGTCAACCACAGTTTGAGTCCCAGACCTGGCAGCTTAAAACTCACTCCAGGCACATGTGCATGTGTGCCCAAAATTTCAAGAGGAGAATGGAGGAGAAGAGATTCTGGCGTGACCATTTCCCCTGGGGGGATGATTTCTCCCTTTCTGTCTCTCTCTGTCTCTCTGGCAAGCACAAGTGCCCTACAGCAAAAATCTCTTTAAAAAAGAAAAAAAAAAGAATTTAGTTTGTCTTTTAATTAAAGTGTACCCGAATGCCATCGGGTGGCATTATGGTTAAAGTGGCTAGATCCCACACGGGTCAACTGTGTTGTTCGAGTCCTGAACACCACTGGTGGGTTGAAAAACATGCTGGGCTCATGTGTGTGTGTCCTCAAAATCCTGAGAGGAAAATAGAGGGGAAGAGATTGCAGTGTGACCATCCCCCTTGGGAAATGATTTCTTACTGCACCCTCCCCCCCACACACACACACATCCCAGAAGAGCCAAAAATCTGTATTGGAATATTGGATGGGTTTTATTTTTATGTTGATTGCTCACCAGCACTTATGCCTTAACTTTCTTAAATCTTTTTTTCCTTGGGGCCAGCAGGTTGACGGTTAAGGTGCTGGACATTCCCACATGGCTGTCCACGGTTCAAGTCCTGGATGTGGTAGCTTGCTTTCTCACATTCCCTCTTTCTCTCTCTGGTCAAATTAAGATGAATAAATGAAGGAATAAAAAAATTAAATAATTTTTTTTAAAATGTTTTTTCTGGGACAATCTGAACATATTAGTGTCTAAGGAATAGTATGATAGTTTTCAGTTCATCAGACATTTATTGACTGCTGTCACTTTGGCCTAATATTGTATAAAAGACTAGCACACACACTCCCCCCCACTTTTTTTAGTAAATTTAATTTTAAAGTAGATACTGCAAAATGATGACTTGATAGCTTCTGAGATTATTAATTCAGTCGTTTAAAAACATACATACTTCTAATGGTGTATTACGGATTTATGAATCATCAGCAATAGAAATACTATTTTTGTCTGTAATGAGGAACATCTTAGTAGTCACACTGACCTACCATTCTTAGAATCAGTTCTTTTTTTTTTTTTAAGAGGTTTTTGCTATAGGGCGTGTGTGCTCGCCAGAAAGACACAGAGAGACACAACAAAACGTCAGCCCCCCCCCCCCCCCCCGGGGGGATGAACACACCGCAGTCCCTTCTCCTCCATTCTCCTCTTGGGATCTTGGGTGCGCACACGCATGCGCACACACACACACACACACACACACACACGCCGGCGTGAGTTTAAGCCACCGGGTCCAGGACTTGAACCGTGATCAACTACATGGGAGTCCAGTGACATAGCCATTACACCAACTGCTGGTCCCAGAATCAGTTCTTTTCCTATTAGTTGGAGTATAACCCTTCTCTCCATTTTTGGTTTCAGAATAGTAACAAAGGAAAATTGTTCTTTGTGAGCTGTGGTAAACTTCCCAAGCAACCAAGGTCCAAAGTAGAATTATATCCTTGAAGCTGTACTGACAAACAAATGAATTTACATTTGCAGACGTAGGGTAGAACTGATTGAGCAGTTCCTACAGGTCAAGGAAGTAAGACCAAGTTTCTCAACGTGCCAAAGTTGAGCTGCTGAGAGGGCACCCAGCCAGTACAGACCTATATGAAGGATAGAGATAGTGAGATAGGAAGCAAGAATAGAGGCATTTTGCTAGACTGTAGAGTGTGTACTGAAATTACGGTTTAAGCATCTGGAAATAATCTTTATTTTTATGGAATTCTATGTTTTTATAAAATATTTTCTGTGGTTGTAATATATATTTTAAAATTCCTGAAAGTATTTTTTAGAGGGCCCGCCATTAAACTCTCTTAACAAAGAAAAGCTGCTTTTCATAGTTATAGTTTATATGTACATGGTTTGTGCATACAGACATTTGTTTCTTTTTCTCCTGTATCCTCTCCCCTCCCCCAGTGAAGTTATTCGAAGTCATTGAAACTGAAAAAACACTCTACTTAATCATGGAATATGCCAGTGGAGGTAAGAATGTTTTTACATACTGTCTTTTTTTCCTCTCCCTCTTCACTTGTAAAAGAGGAAACAACCACACAGCCCATATGAGTGATTGTTAAGGTTTCATTAAACATTTGCAAATAAATACAAATGAGAGTCAGAAGGCTAACTCTTAGCAATGCTTTGCGTTGCCATTTAGTGTTTCACTATCAGCATTATCAATTGATATATCCAAGAGCTTGAATTCTTTTTGGTAGTAAAATATGTGTCACATAAAAGTGAGTCTTCTAGCCATTTTCAGTTAAGTGGCATTAAGTGTATTTACATTGTTATGCAACCATTATTTCATCCATTTCCAGAACTTTTCATCTTCATCTTCCCAAACTGAAGTTGTATACCCACTAAACACTAACTACCCATTTCCCCCTCCCCTGGCTCTTGGCAACTCCCATTCTACTTTTCATCTCTACGAATTTGAGTACTCTAGGTACCAAATATAATGGGATCATGTAGTACTTGTCCTTTCGTGATTGACTTATTTCACTTAGCATGGTATCTTCAAGATTCATCCATGTTATATTATATGTGTGAATTTCCTTCCTTTTTAAGGTCGACTGATATTCCTTTGGTATAGCCAGTTGGTGGCATTTATAGTTAAGGTGTTGGATTCCCATATAGCTGACTGTAGTTTGAGTCATGGACCTGGCTGCTTGCTTTCTCACTTTCTTTGTCTCTGTCTCTCTCTATGTCTCTCTTTCGTCAAATTTGAAAAAAAAAATAATAATAAATGACATTTTTAAAAATATTCCTTTGGTAGATGTATAAGCATTTTGCTTATTCTATTTGAATTTTTAAGTGTATTAATGCAGTAGTGTAGTCTTCCTCTTCTTAGCAGCCTGAGGTGATTTTAGAAAATGGTTCGCTATTCACTTGACCCAGAGAACCCCACAAAGTCATGCAAGTCAAGGGTTCAAATCTTCATGTTCACTTTAAGAACACTTGTGAAACTGCCCAGGCCATCAAGGGTATGCATATCGGAAAAGCCACCAAGTATCTGAAGGATGTCACTTTACAGAAGCAGTGTGTGCCATTCCGTCGTTACAATGGTGGAGTTGGTAGATGTGCCCAGGCTAAACAGTGGGGCTGGACACAAGGTCGGTGGCCCAAAAAGAGTGCTGAATTTTTGCTGCACGTGCTTAAAAATGCAGAGAGTAATGCTGAACTTAAGGGGTTAGATGTGGATTCTCTGGTCATTGAGTACATTCAGGTGAATAAGGCACCAAAGACGAGCCATCGCACGTACAGAGCTCATGGACGGATTAACCCATACATGAGAGATGATCCTCACTGAAAAGGAGCAAATTGTTCCTAAACCGGAAAAGGAAGTTGCACAGAAGAAAAAGATATACCAGAAGAAACTGAAGAAACAAAAACTTAAAGTCAGCATAAAATAAATGTAGATAAAAGTAAAAAAAAAAAAAAAAAA